TCTCGTTCATTCGTGATGTTCGTCCTCCTGTTCTCTGAAATCCAGCGTGACGTCATCACCAATGATCACAAATGGAGCCCAGTTCTTTGGAGCGCTAAACTTCTCAGATTCTCTAAGGCATTTCATAGCTTTATTGAGAGCTGCACTAGCAGTGTCGCCATCCCTGAGATGTTGATAGAAAGCTTTCATAAACTCCTTTGTGGCCTCGTCACCAATTGCCCAGAGTGACGCCAGAACAGAGCGAGCACCAGAGCCCAAGAGAGCCCATGCCATACCGACCACTCCTTCGGCAGAAACTTTCCCGCGACCACTGTGACAGCAGCTGAGGACAACAAGTCTTGCTCGGATCTTCAGAGCATGGATTTCTGACATTTTCAGCATGTAATCTTCCTTCTCCGGCCTCTTGTTCTTCCTTGAAGGATTTGGAGCCAAACAAATCTCTCCAGTCTCCGCACTTCCATGGGCTGCAATGTGCACCAAAGCTACAGAAGCGATGCGTCTCAGTACCTCGTCTTTAGTCGCGTCCTTTCCGATGAGTGGAGTGGCATTAATAATGTTTCCGATCATTAGCACTTCCTTTTCCGCGTGAAGCAGAGTTTGAAACCAAGGTTTCCCAAGGAGATCTGTTATCTCCTCTACACACGGATTACCCACAAGCAGCGCCCCGCTCTTACAATGGAAGTCTTCAGGACAATCTTTTATTAGTTTCAAACTGGTCAGTGAAGGAGCAATGCGGATCTTAAACGACTCACTGAGGTACTTGGAGTCTTTATCGAGAAAGGCAGCAAACGGAACCTGACATAATGGACCATCGGGAGCAATGACTAATTCATCACCTTTCAGTTCGTTTGCAATGGAACCAATAACATTGTCATACAACAGACGCAAGGGGTTGCTTTTACTTTGTGTCATTTCAGGACAAGATTCTATTTCCCGCCGGGGTGGCAGTTCATCTCTATACACATCCAGAAGAAAACGGTCCTCTGACAGTATTCCTGGTCTTGCTTCGATAGATTCGGTCTTAGTGCATCCAAAGAACGATCCTCACAGATAACTCGAGCAGCAAACTCATTCTCTTTGAAAGCTGCCTCCTTCAAACATTTTAAACAGCATGGACATGGATCCTTCCCGAACTTGTAATCGTGCTTTGCTTCCTTTTGTCGAAATTGAACATCGTTTCCATTACCGGCTAGCCAGATATTGATCTTTTCGCCTTCAAGTGCAATGAAAATGGTTTGTGTGAAAACCAAATGTCCTGATGTCGTGAGCGGAGGAAATTCCATTTGATATTGTTGCTTCATGTGATCGAGTAAAACTTGTGCTCGTCCTTGATCAGCAACACACAAAGCCTCGCCAAAGTTAGAAAGTTTCAGTAAAGTTCTACACTGGGCATTGTACATTCGCTGACAAGCATTTCGAAGACACATTTTTTGAGCATCTTCAGCCTTGATAATATCCCTCTTGGCATTGAAAAGGCTTAAGGCGGATCGATAATGATCCAGAGCTTCATGTGGAAAATTGAAGCTTTCCATAGTAAGCCCAAGATGATAACGCGATGGTTCCTCGTGTCCTTTATTTCATTTTCTTTTCCAATGGCTATGGAGTTTATGAGGCAGTTAGTAGCTTCCTTAAAATTTCCGAGGTTACGATAGGCCTTTCCCAAATGGTGGTAGATACATGCTTCATTTGAATCGTCCACCTTTTCCTTGGCAATTTTAAGAGATTGGCTGAAGTATTTAAGGGCTTCCATAGAATCACCTTTTGCCAGATAAGCCTCGCCTAGTCCGAGATAGGAATCGCCCACTGCTTCCCTATGTTTTAATTCTTTGGCAATGGCAAGTTCTCTATCATAGTAGTCTTTGGCTGTGCTGAACTTGTCAAGTCTCATAAAAACATGCCCAAGGCGATGGTAAACCTCTAGTTCATTAGTGCGGTCCTCTATGTTATTAGATGAGATGTCAAGCATTTGCATGAAATACTCTGCAGCTTTTTCATAGTCACAGAGAAGAGAGTAAACAGAGCCAATTTGACCTGTAGCAGTTCCTTCCAAAAGTATATTCCCAGTTCTTTTTGCAATGACCTGACTTTGCTTTAAGTACTGTAGGGCTTGCTTGTAATCACTGAGGGCACGATAACACTCTCCAAGCCATAAGTTTGCGCATCCCTCTCCATCTCTGTCCTCTAGGTCTCTGGAAAAAAAGAGGGATTTTTTGAAGTGTGTTGTGGCTTGATTATAATCACCGAGGTTTTGATAACATCTGCCAAGGTCGAGGTTTGCATCTCCTTCTCCATCTCTTTTCTCTACTTCTTTGGAAATAACAAGAGATCTGTTGTGGTGTTCTATGGCTTGTTTGTAGTCACCGAGGTTCTGATAACATCTGCCAAGTTCGTGGTTTGCATGTTCTTCTCCACTTCTGTCTCCAGGTTTTTCTGAAAGAATGAGGGATTTGTTGAAGTGCACTGTGGCTTGATTGTAGTCGCCTAGGTTTTGATAACATGTGCCAAGGTCGTGGTTTACATCTTCTTCTCCATCTCTGTCTCCAAACTCTTTAGAAATAATAAGAAATTTGTTAAAGTGCGCTATGGCTTGTTTATAATCAGCCAGGCTCTGATGACAATGGCCAAGTTGGTGGGTTGCACATTTCTCTCCAGACTCTTCAGCTCTAACACTTAATTCTTTGGAAATAGTAAGCAGTTTGTTGTAGTGCTCTATGGCTTGTTTATAATCACCGAGGTCTACATAACAAGAGCCAAGGTCGTGGTTTGCTTGTCTTTCTCCATCTCTGTCCCCTAGCTCTCTGGAAGTAATAAGGAATTTGTTGAAGTGCGCCAAGGCCCCTTTATTATCAGCCAGGTTCTTATGACAATGGCCAAGTCGGTAGTTTGCACGATTCTCTTCAGCTCTATCGCTTAATTCTTTGGAAATAATAAGGAGCTGGTTGTAGTGTTCTATGGCTTGTTTATAATCACCGAGGTCTTCATAACAAGAGCCAAGGTCGTTGTTTGCATGTCTCTCTCCATCTCTGTCCTCTAGTTCTTTGGAAATAAAAAGTGATCTGTTGTAGGGTTCTATGGCTTGCTTATAATCACCGAGGTCTCTATAACATGAGCCAAGGTCGTTGTTTGCATGTCTCTCTCCATCTCTGTCCTCTAGTTCTTTGGAAATAATAAGTGATCTGTTGTAGTGTTCTATGGCTTGCTTATAATCACCGAGGTCTTCATAACAAGAGCCAAGGTCGTTGTTTGCATGTCTATTTCCATCTCTGTCCTCTAGTTCTTTGGAAATAACAAGTGATCCGTTGTAGTGTTCTATGGCTTGCTTATAGTGACAGAGGTTTTTAGAACATGAGCCAAGGTCGTTGTCTGCACGTCTCTCTCCATCTCTGTCCTCTAGTTCTTTACAAATAATAAGGGATGTATTGTGGTGTTCTATGGCTTGTTTGTACTCACCGAGGTTTTGATAACATGAGCCAAGGTCGTGATTTGCATGTGCTTCTCCGTCTCTGTCTCCGAGCTCTTTAGAAATAATAAGAAATTTTTTAAAGTGTGCTATGGCTTGTTTATAATCAGCCAAGTTCTGATGACAATGGCCAAGTTGGTGGTTTGCACATTTCTCTTCAGACTCTTTAGCTCTATCGCTTAATTCTTTGGAAATAATAAGCAGCTGGCTGTAGTGTTCTAGGGCTTGTTTATAATCACCGAGGGCTTTATAACATCTGCCAAGGTTGTGGTTTGCATTTTCTTCTCCATCTCTGTCCTCNTCTCGTTCATTCGTGATGTTCGTCCTCCTGTTCTCTGAAATCCAGCGTGACGTCATCACCAATGATCACAAATGGAGCCCAGTTCTTTGGAGCGCTAAACTTCTCAGATTCTCTAAGGCATTTCATAGCTTTATTGAGAGCTGCACTAGCAGTGTCGCCATCCCTGAGATGTTGATAGAAAGCTTTCATAAACTCCTTTGTGGCCTCGTCACCAATTGCCCAGAGTGACGCCAGAACAGAGCGAGCACCAGAGCCCAAGAGAGCCCATGCCATACCGACCACTCCTTCGGCAGAAACTTTCCCGCGACCACTGTGACAGCAGCTGAGCACAACAAGTCTTGCTCGGATCTTCAGAGCCTGGATGTCTGACATTTTCAGCATGTAATCTTCCTTCTCCGGCTTCTTGTTCTTCCTTGAAGGGTTTGGAGCCAAACAAATCTCACCTGTCTCCGCACTTCCATGAGCTGCAACGTGGACCAAAGCGACAGAAGCGATTCGTTTCAGTACCTCGTCTTTAGTCGCGTCCTTTCCGACGAGTGGAGTAGCATTAATAATTTCTCCGATCATTTGAACTTCCTTTTCCGCGTGAGACAGAGGTTGAAACCAAGGTTTCCCAAGGAGGTCTGTTATTTCCTACACACTAGGATTACCCACAAGCAGAGCCCCGCTCTTACAATGGTAGTCTTCAGGACAATCTTTGATTAGTCTCAAACTGGTCAGTGACGGGGCGATGCGGATCTTAAACGACTCACTGAGGTACTTGGAGTCTTCATCGACAAAGGCAGCAAAAGGAACCTGACATAGTGGACCATCGGGAACAATGACTAATTCATCACCTTTCAATTTGTTTGCAATAGGACCAATAACATTGTCATACAACAGGTGCAAGGAGTTGCTTTTTCTTTGTGTCATTTGATGACAAGATTCTTTGTCCCGTCGCGATTCATCTCTGGGCAAATCATCCATAAGAATACAGTCCTCTGACAGTAATTCTTCGTCTTGCTGCGATAGATCCAGTCTTATTGCTTCTAAAGAACGATCCTCACAGATAACTCGAGCGGCAAACTCATTCTCTTTGAAAGCTGCCGTCTTCAAACATTTTAGACAGCATGGACAGGGGTCATTCCCGAACCTGTAATCGTGTTTTGCTTCCTTTTGTCGAAATTTAACATCGTCTCCGTTACTGTCCAGCCAGATATTGATCTTTTCGTCTTCAAGTGCAATGAAAATGGTTTGTGCGGAAACCAAACGTGCTATGTCAGGTTCCCATGTCCTGGGCAGAGGAAATTCCATTTGATATTGTTGCTTCATGTGATCGAGTAAGACTTGTGCTCGTCCTTCATCAGCAACACACAAAGCCTCGCCGAAGTTTGACAGTTTCAATAAAGCTCTGCACAGGGAATCATAAGTACCCTGACGCGCATTTCGGATGCATATTTTGTGATCATCCTCTGCTCTGATAATGTTCCTTTTATCATTGAAAAGCCTTATTGTGGATCGATAATGATCCACAGCTTCATGTAAGAAATTAAACTTTTCCATAGTATGCCCAAGGAGATAATTTGCCCTTTCCTCGTGATTTTTTATTCCCGTTTTTTTTGCAAAGGCAAGACTTTTCATACAGCAGTGAGTGGCTTCCTTGAAGTTATTGAGTTCACCATAGGCCTCAGCCAAAAGGTGGTAGCCACATCCTTGTCCCCAATCTCTGTCAACTTCTTTGGTGACTTTACAAAATTGGCTGAAATATTCAATGGCTTCCATAAAATCACCTCGCTCCATGTGAGCCCGGCCGAGACCGATATAGGACTTTCCCTCTGCATCCTTATCCTTGAATTCTTTAGCAAGGACAAGTTCTTTGTCGAAGTACTCTTTGGCTGTGCTGAACTTACCAAGTTTGAGATAAACACTCCCGAGATCGTAGTAAGCCTGTAGTTCATCATCACGGTCACCTGCGTCTTTTACGATGTCAAGCCATTGCAAGAAGTACTCTGCAGCTTCTTTATTATCATCGACATCATCGTATAAATGACCAAGAGAATGTTTAGCCTTTCCTTCCTCAGCTTTATTACCAGTTTTCTTGGCAATGATCAGACTTTCCTTGAGGTACTCCAGGGCTTGCTTGTAGTCATGGATGGTTCGAAAACATTGTCCAAGCACTAAGTTTGCATGTCCCTCTCCATATCTGTCGCCCAGTTCCTCGGAAATGACAAGGTCTCTGTTGAAGTGTTCAAAAGCTTGTTTACAATCACCGAGAGCCACATAACATTTGCCAAGTTCGTGGCTTGCATGTCGCTCTCCATTTCTGTCGCCTAGTTCTTTGGAAATAGTATGGTGTTTGTTGCAGTGTTCTATGGCTTGTTTATAATCACCGAGGGCTTCACAACAAATGCCAAGCTCGAGATTTACAGTTCCCTTTACAACTCTGCCTCCAAGTTCTTTAGAAATGATAAGGGTTTTGCTGTAGTGTTCAATGGCTTGTTTATAATCACCGAGGTCTCCGTAGCATTTGCCAAGGTGGCAGTTTCCGTCTATTTCTCCATGTGTGTCTCCAAGTTCTTTGGAAATTGTAAGGAATTTGTTGAAATGCGCCATGGCTTCTTTATTATCAGCCAGGTTCTGATGACATTGGCCAAGTCGGTGGTTTGCACAATGTTTCTCTTCAGGTCTACTGCATAATTCTTTGGAAATTATAAGGAATTTGTTGTAGCAATCTATGGCTTGTTTATAATCACCAAGGGCTTGATAACTTGAGCCAAGTTCGTGGTTTGCGTGTCTCTCTCCATCTCTGTCCCCTTGTTCTTTGGAAATAATATCGAATTTATTGTAGTGCGCCACGGCTTGTTTATTATCAACCAGGTTCTTATGACAGTGGCCAAGTTGTTGGTTTGCATATTTCTCTTTAACTCTATCGCTTAATTCTGAGGAAATAATAAGGAGTTTGTTGTAGTGTTCTATGGCTTGTTTATAGTCAAGGACTTTGTAATAAGCATTTCCAAGACTGCAAGACACTTCTCCCTCGTAAGCCCTATCGTGGTTTTGACGGGCAATGCCTAGACTGTACATGAAGTTATTTACTGCTTGGTTAAAATCACTAAGCTCTCCATACGCCTGGCCAAGCTTTTCGTAAGCGATCATCTCTTCCTTCGCATCGCCGCTAAGCTTTGCATTGACGAGATCTTGCTTTCGTTGCTCTAGCACTTCAGAATTTGTTTCTGCCATGTTTCAACGTTTTCTTTATCTTGTTCAAAACTATGAGAAAATATATGACAAATTATAGTGAGTATGTTAACGGCTCAGATATCAACTTTTGCACGAAATTCCGAGCTAGCGTTAGCCTCTAATAATTAAAATTAAATACGCGGGGTAGAACTGCTCGATGAAAAGTTCAAAACTGCAATTACTACAAAGGAGGCAATATACTGATCGATCAGAACTGACGTAAATCGAGAAGCAAATGGAAAAACAAAAACTAAAATCAACGATGGACTTTATCTTTAATGTTATTTCATGAGATGCGAATAATACATGAATAATAAGTTCACGGCTCAGTCAAGTTCTACTCGTATAAATATGAACGGTGCTCTCATCTAAAAACGCAATATGGAATAACAATCAGCTTTATTTTAATTCTTGCAGTTGCATAAGGTATTACTGGAAACTGTAATACCATTTTAAAATGCTACTGCAGGACAACATAATACAATAATACAATACAAACTTTATTGACACTCCCTTAAAGAGGGTTTTTCGGTGACAATGATCTAAAAATTACAAAATTACAGTACTAAAAGTATAATAGAAAAATTAAGGAAGCTAAAATGTTGATAAATGTTCGCCAAAGTTACAACTAAGAGCGATGAGAAAGGAAAGCAGCAAGTAATTTGGCTCTAAAATTACGCTTAAAATCACGAGAATAATTACAGACTTTGAGGGTATTATCCAAACTGTTCCATAAACTTATTGTACGATAAAAGAAAGTCCTTTTTCCAGATTTAGTTCTATATAGGGGTATATGCAGAAGTTGGGAGCTTCTGGTCGTGCGACCACTTATCTCACCACGTGTTAGAAAATTCGAGGAGAGACAAGTAGGAGCGGAGCCGGTCACACATTAGGGACCTTAAGCAGTCAGGACGGCAACGCCACGGAAGACGTCGATGAAAAAATGAGTTTCTACTTTTAGCTAGAATTTGAAAAATGGCTGCATGTGTTTACCGTCTCATTGGGCGCCAGACCTCAAACTCAACATAACGCATAAAAGTAGCGTTGAGTTCCAAATGTAAATTAAAATAATATCCCGCCGCGGTTTTGGTTCGCAGACGACGCAAATTTTTTTGGTTTCACGTTGTTGTTTTGCAAAGGACGGCTAAGAAATGTACAAAGTTTTAAAACGCACGTGCTGGTCTATTGTTCTGCCAATTAGATCTATCGTTTTTACACGTTCTCGTTGCCGTAGCCGTCGTGGTTTACTTAAAGTCCCTTTAAAAGCAAGTACGGCGTCACGAAGATATAGCTGAGATTTAATAGGTAGCCAGTGCAGCTCTCTCACAAGCGGAGTCACGTGGTCAAATTTTCTGAGACCACAGATAATCCGGGCTGCAAAATTCTGGACCGCTTGTAGTTTGAGAAAGTTAGTGTCTGCTGCATTGGACAAGACGGAGGAACAATAAAATAACTTACTAAACACTAAAGTGTTAATTATTATCAATAAGGTCGATCGATGAAACGACTGAATTAGCTTTTAAGCTTATGACCTACCAAGAATCAGACGCTTTGAATCAAACCTGCAGTCGAAGGGCTGTTTCCTCTAAATCATAACTGACTCAGACCGGTCAACAATATTGAAGGGCACCAGACGAAGACGTATTACAGCTTCTCAGTTCTTGCGTTATCACAGTTTTATAATGTCGATGTCGGAAAGTAAAAGACTTATTTTTGTCTAAAGAAGCCATTTTTCCTAACTTGAATGGGCTTACTTTTACAATTAACCACGTAAGTTTCAGTTTCTTACATAGGGTTTTCTCACGCGATTGTAACGGTGAACTACGAAACTTGTTCTCTCGTGTTTCTCACTGGCTTCAGTAGTTTCACGTTTTCGAGTATTTCCATGCACCTGGTGCAGGGTCAAGAATTTCGGCCCACAATTCTTGCTGTCGAGAAACTTCAACCAGATTGTTAATAGGTATGCTAGGAGCACGGAAACTGTGCTGAGCAAAACATTTTTGCACAGGAGTGTTGCGTGTTATTTTATGGATAGAAACAAACTGAGTGCTCTTCATTTTCAATTTCAATCGAAAGACAATTTTAGTCGCACGTACACGTAGTTTGATCACTACGCAAATAAACAAAGGATAAAAGTTTCAAAATAGCGGAGATTTAATTGTCAAATGAGAAAATGATTAAAACACTCGCTCGAAGGAAGAAACGAATGTTTTAAAGTTTCCTAAGCTGTTGCATACAATTCTGATGCACTCTCTTCTTTTTTTTCTTTTCTGCCTCACAGTGATAACAAACAACTCCGATCCTCCAAAGCCACGGATTAATAATGGTACTATTGAACTGAGTGGAGTGCAATTTGGGCTGAAATTATACGCGTGATTTCAAAATGGAACGAGCGCGCAGCGCGAGTTTGTTTTGAAATCACAAGTATGATTTCAGACCAAAATTGCACGAGATGAGGTTTATTTACCACTTTACTACATCCGTTTTGAAATCGCCCAAATACAGGACTTGGTCATCAATTCAAATATTTTACTGATGCAGCACTGAGTCGGTTTTAAATAAAAAGGCGGAACTGGAAACGCTTTTACATCTTATTTTGTATGCAAAACAAAAAGACTTTGACGTCATGTGTCAAAAAACTCAGTCAAGCGTAAAATGATGAGATTTAGAACAAAAAATGGTGCGATTCGTGAATAAATCGCACCAATTTAGAGCTAATCAGATTACAGGGACCACCAGTGATTTCAAAATGGGTGTAATAAAGAGGTAAATTCTTCTGGTTATAACAATACATTATTCAACAAAAACGTGATCAGAAGAGGCACGCTCATCAGACTAACGATGTTCTCTTGATAAGACACCGAATTCTCATAAGTGATTTAAAAGCAATGTGTAGCAGCTAGAAAGGAGAATTAAAATAATATCTTTGGAATTTAAAGGTTATTTTGCGAAGGAATAATCATCATGCTAAATTGCGATGGAGTAAGTACGCCATTGAAAACTTAAAAACAGAGTTTTTAAGTTTTAAAACCGCCTCCCGGTTAGGTCAATGGTAGAGCGCTGGACTGTTGTGCGGGAGGTCGAGGGTTCGAGCCCCGGCCGGACCAACACTCCGGGTCTTAACCCACTACCACTACCGAAACAAACGACACCGCAACCCCTACGACTACAGCAACCATACCGTACATAAAAGGCATGTCTGAAAACATCTCGCGCATCTTACTACCCTTCAATATCCGCGTCGCCCACAAACCCATCACCACACTACGTCAGTTACTAACCAACGTTAAAGACAAAGACGAACCGAGGAACAGACAGGGAACGATTTATAAGATCAATTGTTCCGACTGCCAAGCCTCCTACATCGGTGAGACTGGCAGAAACCTCACAACAAGACTGACTGAACACAGACGGGCGACGAGGAAAGGTGATGTCAGCAATCACATTGCTGAACACCATCGACTTACCAACCACAACATTGACTGGGACTCTGCGCAATGCCTAACCTACAGCACTGACTATTTTCAACGACTGACTCTGGAAAGCTGGTTTACTAACTTAGAACAGACTCCCCTAAACAGATGTCAACAACTACCCGCCCCATACAAACGACTCATTCACGACATAAACATCACAAACGACCGAAAAAGAACAACCTAGCTTTACCGACAGACCGAAACAGACCAATCACGAACGACTTACGTCACTTGAGTCTTACAGCCAATAACATCACGGCAAAACCAACCGATCATTTCACACGAACTGGAATAAGAACATTCTACTGACAACAATCACTCACTTGACTCTGATGATTACTTCCGCACAGGTTGTCGAAACGTCAGTCACTGCCACCGACAACAGTCCTTCTCAGGACTACACTCACCCGGACGATCAGACTACACCTTCACATGTTACCCCCGGGTTCAAACCATTTACTACATTACGTTTCTCTTCAGCTCTATCGCTTAATTCTTTGGAAATGATAAGGAGTCTGTTGTAGTGTTCTATGGCTTGTTTATAATCCTCGAGTTTATGATAAGCATTTCCAAGAATGTAAGACGCTTCTCCTTCGTAAGCTCTGTTGTGTTGTTGTCGGGCAATCCCTCTACTGTGCATGAAGTTATATATTGCTCGGTTAAAATCACTAAGCTCTAAATACGCTTTGCCAAGATTACTGTAAGCGATCATCTCTTCCTTCGTATCGCCGTCAAGCTTCGCTTTGACGAGATCTTGCTTTCGTTGCTCTAGCAGTTCAGAATTTGTTTCTGCCATGTTTCAACGTGCTCCTCGCAGAGTATGAAACTAATAGTAAACATACGACAAAGTATGGTGAGCATGTTGACGCAGATATTAACTATTCCATGAAATTCCAAGCTAGCGCTAGCCTCAAATAATTAAAGTTAAATACGCGGGGTATAAACTGCTCGCTGAAAAGTTAAAAAGTGCAATTTCTGCAAAGGAGGAAACACTACTTATGGGACAGAACTGACTTTAATCGAGGGGTAAATGGAGAGACAAAACTAAAATCAATGATGTACTTTATGTTTGATGTTATTTCATGATGAGATGCAAGTAATTGGTTCCACTCCGTCAAATTCTACTGATATAAATATGAACGGCGTTCTCGTCTAAAATCGTAATATTAATTAAAAATCAACTTGCTTTTTAATTCTTTTAGCTGCTTAAGGGGCCTCACTGGAAATTGTAATACCATTTTAAAATGCTACTGAAGGAAAACATGAAACAACTAAATCAGCTTTCAAGCTTACCTACCAAAAATCAGACGCTTTGAATCAAACCTCCAGTCGAAGGGCTGTCTCCTCAAACTTGTAACTCGGATCAGTCAACAATATTGAAATGCACCAGACGAAGACTCAGTACAGCTTATCAGTTCTCGCGATATCACAGTTTTATAATGTCCATGTTGGAAAATAAAAGACTTTTATTTTTGTCTAAAGAAGCCAATTTTTCTCATTTGAATGGGGTTATTTTCACACTTA